CAATTCATTTATAAAAATGTGAGTAAACTTTTTCTGTTTATTACGCGAGCATTTAAAACAATAAAAAGCGTAATAATTAAAAGTTGTGACTGTAACTGTAAACTCTTTGCAGAATACTTATTTTAGTTACTACAAGTCAACTAAGGGGTTCCCATAAATCCACTTAGCTATTTTCTCAATTCTACGTTTTCTACCTATCCGAACATGGTTCGGTCTTTATTTTTCTGCTGACAAATCTCATTCCACAAGCCTCCCATCTTTTGATATGTTATTCTCCACTCAATTAACTTTCTTGGAAGCTATCACACGAGTTATTTTGATCTCGTTTGCTCTGGATATCGCCGTTTGAAGTTGGACAAGCAAAGCTGCCAGCCAACCCCAAAACAGCTCCAAACATCCCTCACTCCCCGAATTACTGCAGGAAATCCACTCAACCAATTGTCTCAAATTTTTATACAAAAAACTAGATACCTCAATCTTCAATTTGATATCTCATACACCTAATTTGACCAAGAAACGAAGCGGGAATAAATTTCTCAAAATCGGACCAGAACTGCCACAAGTGCAGTGAGCAATTGGGCAGTCTGCACTCTCTGCCTTCCCCAGGCCGGCTTTCAACCCAGAATTCACTCAATTTTTACCACAAGATAGATGACATCTCAATTTTCAAAATGGCGTATGACACGTCCCTATCGGACCTCTGTGGAGGGAGATATGTTCTCCCGAAATTCGGCTAAATGCTGCCAATTCGCCAGAGTTTCCTTTGTTTTTACAAAAATCCCAAAGTTTGCAAATGCTTTCTAATACCTCAAATGTACCTAATAACCAATGGGTGGCACACACAAGGACCAAAAATGCCTTGGAGCACTTACAACCCAACTCAGTTTATAGTTATTACACAATTCATACCATATTGCTCACTTTATTAATCCTTGACTTATTTCAATCACCAATGTCCATTTACATGCATTTTCTAAACATACACAAAATCATAATCCTAAAATAGGCCTAAAGCCCTTCCATCATATTGCATCAAGTATTCATTGTGCAATTACAACATCTCAATTACATATTACAACTTACAAATTCATAACTTTAAATTACAACTTCAAACATAAAGCTTAAAATGACATATACAACATGTACGTAGACTTAGGCAAAAATAGCATGAACAAATATGACATGAAACTCATCCTACATACATATGGGATGTTCATGCCCTAAGTCTATCCTAGGCCCCATGGCCATCAAAATGCAAAAAGTAGAAATGCTCTCCAACACTCATCCTACGGGCCTCTTGCCCGCCCCTCCTGTGCCACTGTTACCTCCTGAAATACAGCCCCCAAGACGGGGTGAGATATACGAATATATCTCAATAACCCATAGGTTCTGGAGAAAACTCCGCCCAATGGCTCACTTCGATACATATAAATAATATACAATAACATCTTTTAAAAACGGGATATACCAAGGGATTTAGAGAAACTAGGGAATATAAGGATACAAAATACGACGAAGCTGGAATGGTAGCTACCAATACCACGCAACGCCCTGCCTAATGGCTCGGCATATAAGCCTACGGGTCTCATTCAAGGCGTGTTCCAAGAACAACTAACCAAGGTACCCCTCCTATCCGCATACACCCGAGACTTCCTAGTGTGCTCCTATTCGGATCACACACCACGACCTTGGGTCAACTGGAACTCCCTCTCGGAGACCTATCCAGTGGAAGTCTGAAACGCCCGAAGGCAAAAACTGTCTACTGGCCAGAGACTCGGTACATCTAGTGTACCACTAACATACATAATAAATGCATGATCATGTTATTCTACACTACTCATATACATTTCCTACCATCACCCTCAACGGGTATGGTGGAACACACAAGGGGAACAAGCCCCAGTACCAAGAGGTTACCTCAATAAGCCTCTTCACTTAGCTCCGCAGCAGTATATTCTTCGAGCTCGTTACTCAACAGAATGCCTATACATAGGACATTCCCAAATACTCAAAACTCATACATACACATGCCAATTAACAATTATACAAGCATGATTCAATCACTTACCTCAATCCCACTTGGTCCAAGACCAAGGGCAATCCACCGACTCACGGTTCGGGGTTCAAATCGACGTACGACAACCTATAATAACCATGTACGGATCGTCAGTACACGACAATTCTATCAAAACGCGAAAAACGTCAAAAACCTCCCCTACACCCTTGTAGGTTCGGCCAAAGTAGTGTAATTTTGAGATTTATTTTTCTAAATTTTCTTTCCCATTTTCCTAAGCATCCTTAGGTTGCCAAAAGGCAAATCAAGTGCCGTTTTTCATTTTACGTCTTTTAAACGTCGTTTTGCTTAATATTTCACTCTAGGACCCTTTATGACTCTCAACACCATTTATTATTTTTCATTGATTCTCCAACCTTCCAACCACCACACAACCCATCTAAATACCATTTAATACATGATTCATCATCTAAGCCTTGCCAACAACATCAAATCCCTACCAATGAATTTAGAAGGTGGTTTCCATTGAATTTCAACACAAAAATCAAAGGATTTGGTGGGGAAATGATGGAGTTATGGAGAAATGAAAATGGAAGTGAAATGGTTGTGGTAAGGGGAGTGATCCACGGGTTTCAAGAGAGGAGGGGAGAGAGAGATGGTTAATAGTGAGGCTATGCACATGTGGCATGTCATACTTAAGTGGGGTGGGTCCCACCGCCACCTCACGCGATTTTAAACTAATCCGAATTTCCACTAAACGTCCATAAATTGACAACCTATTTAGAAACTCTAATTTTTAACATTAACCATTGTTCTTCAATTATACTTGATCAGATGAATCATGAGTTTTCCTGTTATTCGGAAGTACTGCAGTTTTAAGCTGTGGCGCGTGTCGTTGGCACGCTTCCCCAAACTAACTTACTTCCGTCAAATTTTATCGGAAATCATATTTTCTAATTCTATAGACCATTTATAACTCATATTTAACACCTAGAGCTCAAAACTCAATCGGCACGCTTTACAGTGCAACTGTACCGCGGTACTGTTACCTAGTAAAAACACTATTCACTGAATTTTTTGAAACTTTCCTAACCACTCAATTTTTCGTTCTGAATCCATTTTCAGGGTTATTTTTATCATTTAAGACCTTTCTACTACGTTTTTATCTTCCTAGGGTTGCGTGTTGGCTAATTGTCGTTTTGCCCTTTCTTTGTATTTTGGCCTTACTTTCAGGATTTTCACTAATCCTTCTCTTTAATTCTCATTTAATATTTTAATATTTAAACTTAGAAATGTGAGGTGTTATAGTAATGGTGGTGATGGTGGTGGTGACGGTAATGGTTTTGACAATGGTGGTGGTTGTTGGTGGCAGCGGCAGCGGCGGTGGTGACGGTAGTGGTTGCGGCAATGGTAGTGGTGGTGGTTGTAGTGGTGGCGATGAGGGTGGTGGCAGTGGCTTGTGATGGCGATGGTGGCGGTGACGGCAGTGGTTGCGATGATGGTGGTGGTGGTTGATGGTGGTAGTGGTGACGGTGACAGTGATAGTGGTGGTGGCGGTGGCGGCGGCGGCGGTAGTTGTGGTGGTGGTGACGGTGGCATGGTGGTTGTGATGGGTGGAGGAGGTGGTAATGGTGGCGGTGGCATCGTGGTGGTGATGAGTGGTGACGACGACACTAGTGGTACGATGGTGGCGGCAGTCGTGTTAGGATGATGGTGGTGGTGGTGGTGATGGTAGAGGTGGAGAGTGATTGAGAGAGAAGTGTTTCTCATTTGTGCCCGGGAACAAAAAAGCAAAAATTTTGTGATTCTTTTTCTGTTCCCCAGCACAAAAATTAAACTGGTTCATCTCGGGAACAAAAAAATAAACCGGTTTTACCAAACGAGTTTCCTATCCATTTCTGTTCCCGGTAACATAAATTAAAAAATAATTGATTCCGGGAAGGTTGTCATGCACACCCTAAAAGTCCAGAAAGGACCCATGAAGGCGCAATGATCCCATTGCGCAGAATGCACACACCAAGCATTGCGCAGACTACCATGTTAAGTCGCCTTATGTAACTTAAAGACTAAGGAAAGTCATAGTAACTAGTTGAGGTCCACCGCGCATAAGGGCCAACACAGGAAAGACAGCTACAGCTTGCCACAACTCTAAGAAGACAGGCTATTATCTAGACTTGATCACCAAGGAAATAGCCAGAAAGACACCAACTGAGACTGAGAGACAATACCAACAACAACCAATAAGAAGTTATGCCGCCTACAAAAGGCGGCACAAAGCTTACTATAAATACAGAGAGAACAAACCCAGGTACAATATCATTATTCCAATTAACTACAACTAATACCTCGCATTGATACTGACTTAAGCGTCATAGTGTCTTTGCAACAGTCACTTCCATTGCGCCAGAGTCACAATATTGTCAATTCAAAGAGAAGCCTACTTCACCATAGATTCGAGCTGATTTGCTACAATTCAAAAGCTCGTAGTCTTCAACATTCAACCGTGTGTGACTTGACCCATCTAATCGTGGACTAGTTAGATCAAGCCTCAATAAAATATAAAATATGTTTGAGTTTGTAATATAAAATACCAGTTTCTACAACGTATAGTATTATTAAAATACAATTTTATTTATGCATATTTATTTATTAAGTGCAGTTTAAAATTAAAAAATAATAATAATAGGGAGGGTGAGCTCATGCACTTATTTTAAGTTGGTAAAGCTCATCCTTAATTAAAGATTAAAATGGAGCCTGTTACCAAAAAGCAAAAAAATAAATAAAATCGAGCCAAGCTACATGTTGACCTAGACAATTTGGATTTTTCCAAATGAAAAGCTTAGCTTGTCATCGGGTTTAATTATCAAAAAATAAAAAATCGAGCCAAGCTACGTGTGTGTGTTTTTCTTCTATATGTTGTAATTAAAATATCAGAATAAATTAGAAACGTTAGTTTTTGAAAGTTTTGTATATATTATTAGTACACATCAAATTTAAGAAACATGCACATTTTTAAAGTTGGAAACTCTCCTCACTTTAAGAAAATATGAAAGCCCAAATAGACAATTGCCGTTATAGAATATGATAAATCATAAATGAATGGACTAGTGCTTCCTATACAACTGACAAAATGGTGCGACTAAATTTACGGTTCTTTATATTGCTCTATACATTTATGCAGCCATCAGATAAGCCAGTTATGGCATTTAAAGGAATAGAAATAGCATCAGGTTGTGATTTTAACGACAATTTCAGCCAACAATTGCAAGCAAGCTTTCTCTGACAGTTGGAATCGAGCAGAGTATAGACCCAAATATACCATTCAAAGCATAAGCAATGGCACAAAATGGGAGAGCCTCAGGTTCCTTTGCAGACAAGGCTGCTGTTCCAAGTCCGTGGGCACTGAAATAAAAAATGATTCAATAGCAAGCAAGCAAATAATCATGTTTGCATGAACAAGAAAATTGTTTGTATACGTTTGTTGCCCGAATTAATACTGTTTCTCCTTTGTGCCATTTCTACTTGACCAAACTACTAACTAGAAGAGTGGACCTTTGAGGTCTATTCCATGCCCAATATCCACCCTCTACCTCACGATAACAGGTTACTATCACAAAATACATTCACAATCATGCCAAATAATCACTTTTGGCAAATATTCCTTTACGTCGATGTTACAAAAACCGAATTGACCCGGTCAGATCGATCCGAAAATCGGTCATATAATCGATCCAGTTTTTATATTAGATCGGCCATGTAATGGAACCGGTGCGACCCAACAGGTTGTTATAAAAACCAGTGACTCGGTCGGTTCAACCGGTGACTCGGCCCGGTTCATTAAAAAAAAACTGATTTGTTCTAATCAATTGATACCTTTCTTTTTTTCACTCATACAAACAGTTTGTTTTCTTTTGAAATATTTGAGTAATCTGTTACTTATTGTCTTACCTAGGTTATGTACCTACAACACTGACATTATCTTGGTTATGCAATATGCAGAGAATCTTGATTTGATTTATAGTGAGATGTCGTCTACTGAACCTGAAGCACCAGTATCACAAGTATTATATGTTTGATTGATCTTTTGTGGGACAATGATGTGTAATTTATTGTTTTTCAAATTAAAATATTTGGAATTAGTATAACTTTTTTTATAGGTATTTGTGTATATTTATAGTTTTTTAATATAAATTATGGGCAAAAGAGTTCTTCTGTGGCAGTAGAGTCGCGATCTTTTTTCCAGTGAAACAAAGAATTTGTGGGGCCCACAAGTTAGACAAAAAAAAAGGGAAGCACAAAAATCGAAGTGAGAGCTACAAGAAATTGTGCTCTCCTGCTAAATGAGAGGTATAAAGCCCATTTACATATACTTATCGGATCATGCGGTTGAATCAATAACCCACTGGTTAAACCAGTTACCCAGTATCTCAACCAGGTCAATAACCGGGCCAGATTTAATAGCATTACCTCTACACCTGACACACCTGTGGGATCCACTCCACCTAACACCTGGAATATAGAACGTGTATAAAATGCACACCCTCACATTTCACACACTATGCATTTAGTTAAGTTGCCAAAATTGTGACATTCTCTCCTCAACGTCTTGCAAGTCACACATCACCCCTTTTTTCTCCATACATACGATATGGTGGAAACCACCACATTTCACCCTCAAATTCTCAGAGACCTGATCATCTTCATACCAAAACCCTGTAAGTCGGCCTAGACAGCAACAACTAATCCTTTCACAGGGTTGCACATTTCAGATTTATACTTCAGATCAGCTGCCATTAACTTATGCTAGTAATGGAAGTGTGGAATGCAGTGAAAATGAGTTTCTGGTCAAGTGAACAATCTGTGGATTACATAATATACCTGGAAGCAGTTGCTATTCCTCGAGCAATTGGATCACGGAAACTGAACTTATCAAGCGCTGCTTGCACAAAATTTGCTCCAACCAGACCAGTTACTACAACCACAGCGGCCGTGAGCGATGAATTGGCACCTGCAGACAGAAAGTGAAATTTTCAAAGATAGAACTGAAGTGCATAGTGCAAACGAATACAATCTAAATTGTAGAGCGTCCCTTTCTCTGTGTGTGAGTGTATTCATTAAACAGATTAAGACATCATAACTTCGGATTAAATCCATTAAGTCTGATCAAGTTCCACAGTAGACAAGATTATTGGGATAAATGGTTGCAGCGCAGGCATAACATTTACCTTCAAACAAAGACACAATGCTGAGGGCCAACGCCACTGTTATACATCTGGGAAGAATGGACACGGTTAATGATGGTTCTAATCCAACAAGACGTCCAACAAGGGCAGTTGAGTACAGTGAGAATACTGTTGAGATGATGACAGACGTGAAAATCTCAGCTGCATGCCTCTTCACAAGCTGTGGTAGACAAATCAATCGTTAATGATTTAATGATTTAGCCATTATCTGATTTAGGGATGAGAAGGAAACTGTTGCAAAGCATGTTTTGTATATGGGTATATATCATGCTAATGATTGTGTTATGAACCCACAAGTAAAAATGCAGAGAGATGGTTAATAAAGAGAAAAAAAGAGAATGGGGATTTGTTATATACATCAACAGAAAAAAAAAAAAAAAAGGAGATGAAGCTCCTTCCAAGGGTTTTCCCCTGAGAAAGGGCTTAGTTTCCTCTAATCTTTCTCGATGCCCTCCTCCTCCTCGTTTAACCCTATTTAAGTTATACAACTGATCGTATCATTTCCAACTTCCTAACATTTGTAACCATAACTGCCAAACAGCGTCTAATTTGTCTAACTGATAACAGTTCTGCTCATTCCTCCAGGTATACACACACTCCAACTCTCCTCAATCTTCTGGATCCAATCAACATCATCGGGGGCTGGGACTGCCACTTAATGACAATTTAAGCCAGCTGTTCCCCCTGATGAGAAATGGAGCAAGAATCTAAGACTGATTCTGGATGATAAAGTGGCAGATCCACTGCCAATGATTATCCCATTAACCTTCCAGGTCTTTGCTAATTTAGCAAGAATAAAAAAATTGAAGTATAAAAGACATGCCTCTAGCCTAACAAAGTTGAATTACCTATCCACGCAAAAACTAGACTGAAGGTAACCTATAACATTTAAAACATTGCTCATATATAAGTTTGACCGCAACTTGCCAAACAATGTAAACAATCGAAAGCAATTTAGAATAATGAGAACATATTGTAATCATCTGCTTTAGGTTACCTTTCTTTGCTTGAACATAGAGAAGGAAAAGGAGAGAATAACAGATCCCAAAAATCCCATTAAAATGTCGCCAGCTCCAGGATTAGAAGATGCCTTTGTGAGGTAATATCCTGCGAATGTTGAAAGAAGAATCAACTGAAACAAGTATAGATATATTATTCTGAAATGGCATTAATAAAAGAGTTGCATAGGAAGAGTGGACCACAGAGAAGAACCATGTTGTGCATGGCAAAAGAAAAAATATTGACATGAAAATTTGATCCAAATATTTATCAGTCAATGTGATGATTTCTCACCTGATTTACTATAAGATGCTTTTTCAATATCAAGTTATCAACATATAGGCACAAGCAGTCTTTCCTCTACGTTATATACGAATTAGAGTGAAAACAGTTTAAATTAATCAAATCATCTTTACCGTATCCTAATGTCCTTTGAGCTCCTCCATGACAATGTCTTCTCCATTTATATCCTCCTAGGGGCCTTGCTTTGACCTACATTATTCTACTTCCTCTTATAATAATGTTCCATTAGATCTATTACACATATCATCTTTACTAGAGTGATCTAAACGCTCCAATATGACATCTTAAAAGGGACCTTAATATAAAAATCGAATGTTTATGGGCTGCTTCATATTCACGTATAATAAGCTTTAGACTTATAAAAAGTTATAACAAATCTATGTCATTACATGGTATCTTTTGATAAATTTCTATCACACTCTGGCTACATAAAATGGAAAGCCCTTTAATGACACAACTTTGCATTATTATAACTATCAGGCTGTACATCAAACCAAATCAGCTGAGCTTAGCTGAAGATTACATCAATCTTAAGAGAGTCATTTTGTTACCTCATTTTCCTAGAAAACGTTTTATAAACCAGATTCAAACAGTTCACAACTCCCTACTCAACTTCCCAGCAGACTTCAAATGATTATCATAAATCATAAGGCATCTACAGTAAGAATAGAAGTTTCAAACTAGTAATTTTGAACTGAAGTTTCATTTCCATGTTGAAGTTAACAGCCAAATTCAGAAAAACTTCCATAATTTAGTAATTATATAGTTAGTTATCTTTTAATCATACCTAGAACAGGTTCAAGCCCTGACTTGGAAAAATACCCAAAAGCAAATGCTGTCAGATCTGCTGATAATGCACAGCAAATTATAGGATGGAAAACCTTCTTCACATTTGATGGTAACCTGAAAACAAAATATAGCAAGTATGAATGAACTTGTAGTAAAGATATAAATTGCAAACTATAATGGTTTGTAATGAAATTCTAATAGCATTTGCAAGTGAAAGAACACTTTTTCATTTTTCTTTTTTCATTTAAAACCCCATAACAATAAAGAAGAAGCAATTGTCAATGTGAATAAGCAGTAGCGAAAAGGAATATATTTACCCAGAACCAACCATGTAGCCTAACACTGTGGCTGCAAGCAAAAATGGAAGGCATGTTCTAGCACTGGTCCCCAGTGCTGTTGGGTAAAGTACTGCAGCAACAAATGATGTAAGGAGAACCCCAGTCCATGTCCATACTTCAACGGGAGAAAATGGAGAGGGCCTTCCCATAGGCTCAGCATCTACCAATTCTGTATTGACAGCCTTTCTTACTGCTATAGCCGTGAAACCAGCAACACAAAGTGTAGCTAGCCATCCTCCAACTGGACAGCATTATAAATATCAGCGTTTAAATATAACAAACATGCACCAAAATAGGCCCATCATACAAGAGATGCAGATTTTAAAAAGAAAAAGGTGAGGGGCAGATTTGAGTGTTTAAAAAGTCATAAATTTTTCTTAAAAGAATGCTGAGGTTATCTAGTAATCTAATTATCTAAGTGGCACTAATCATCATATTCAAATTTTAAAAAATAACTGACGACACTAAACTAAACTAAACAAGAAACAACATATGTCCCAGCTTCCAGCAACGTGAAAGATGCAGACTCAGAGCAACTCAGCCCAAAAAACCTTGTTAGAGATATAATATAAAACTATTCATGTCTTTCCACCCAACAACTTGGGAAAATTGGTTCGTGACATGATAATAGAGTGATCAAGTGGCCTAATGTTCGGTCACCCCCATTTTCCTGATAACAAAAAATTGATTTTTTTAATACATGTGTAGCATGTGCAAATGTGACAATTTTCAACACGATACAAATTTTTCGTGTTTGTGTCAGTATTCGTGTCGAGTTCGTGTTAATCATATTCGTGTCAATCCATTTAAATTAAATAATTGTACAACCGTCAGATGGAGCTGAGTGTGACTGAAGGAAAAAACATAGAGACTTCCGAGGAGGAAGCTGATCTTCTGAAACGAAGCATTGAGAGAGCTAAATCCCCATCAAAGGGGAGTGTATTTAAAGAAAATTCCACCCGGAATGGAATATCGTACAAAGACACATTGCTTCAGTTAAATGGGGGTGGCATAGCAGCAGGAAAACAGGAGATAGATTATTTTGAGAAACTGAGAATTGATGAAGAAGAGGAAGATATGGAAATGGAGCTGAATGAAGAAGGGGTCCATTCTGATGATCCTTTCTGCCCAACGTACCAGTTTAAAAAGAACCTTCATAAGGAGAGTTGCAAACCGTGGAGGCAAGCTGTGATAGTTAAGTTACTGGGGAAACGGGTTGGAGTGAAATTTCTTCTGAATAGGCTCCTCAAAATGTGGAACCTATCTGGTACTCATGAGTTTATCGATCTAGAGAATGACTATTTCTTGTTCAGGTTCTCAGAGGTCGAAGACTACAACTTTGTCCTTCAAGAAGGCCCATGGATAGTGGCGGACCACTATGTAGTGGTGGAGCGCTGGAGGCCACTGTTTAATCCTCAAGATGATAATGTGAAGAAGCTGGCGGTATGGATATATATTCTAGGCCTTCCAATAGAATTTTATACGACACACCATCTATGGAATATAGGGAACTTGTTTGGACGGACATTGAAAATTGACAGAAACTCTATTCGCAAAGGTGACTTGGGTGAGGGAGAAGTCACTAATCGGGCTAAATTTGCTCGTATATGTATTGAAGTTGATTTGAGCAAAGGTTTCCTTTCAAAGTTCAGAATAGGTAGTCGAATTTTCCCAGTTGGCTACGAGGGTCTTCATCTCATTTGTTTCGCGTGTGGTAAATTCGGTCATAGACGAGATGCCTGTCCTCTTTTTTCCAATCCTCAAAGTTCCAGTGTTCAGTCCATTGATAATCAAGATCTTGTAGCTAATGCAGCTAATCTTGATGCGAAAATGAGGATAGTCACAACCAATGGAGATGCGGCAAAGCAGAAAGCCACAGCACACGAAGAAGCCTTCGGCCCGTGGATGGTCGTCCAACGGAACTATCGTGGCGGCGAGAGGAGTCCAGGTTGCTTCAACCTCCACAATGAATGCTACGGTTACATCAAATAAAATGGTTACTGCTAATTCATCTCATCCTCATGTAACCGATGGACAACAAACAATGAGCATTAAAAAAGTGGGTCAGCCTAGGGAAGATACTCAAACCGTTGGTGTTTCTTCCGGTTCACGATTTGCAATTATTGCCAATCATGGTAATGATGGTGATAAGGTAACCGCTCCAATGATTAATGAAACAATTATGGGCAGATTGAATGTTATGGACCAGGCTAAGCGGAACGTATCTACACGTAGGGATAAAGAGGCAATTTCAGTTATGAATGTGGACAACCAAGTGAAAGCCATAAAAAACAAACACATGGGGAACAAGTGTCCAGCTGTCGAAACCCAAAATCATGTGGGGCTGAGTAAAAAAAATTCAAATGATCAGATTCCTAACAGAAACCAAGCGGTGACCCATCACAGTACCGTCTTGCAGCAGGATAAAAAGGAAATTTCGAAAGGGCACAAGGTATTAACTAATCGAGGGAGAATGCAATTTGGTCTCTCGATTGCAGCTAAATCTTTTAAGTTGTCATCGAAGGTGAATCCTGTTACTAGATCTCTAAAGACTAACTCGTTGATAGGATTAGAGGCTGAGGGAATGAAGCCTACAAAGTTTTCTCGGGCAAGTGTGTCAAAGGATCAAAGTGAAACTACCAGGCCACCAGATCAAAACAAGGGAGATCCCCTGACCCAAATAGAATACAAGGGGATATCAATAACAATTATGAGGAACCAATAATAGATTCGATGTCGATGAATCCAAATGTGGAGGTCAGCAAAAGAGCTTTGCCTTTGAAGGAGTCCATTTTGTCCAGGACGTCAGAAGATAGTACCAGTAACTAGTGATGGACCTGTTCCCGTCTGCATCACTAATTTTTTACAATTTTGTCTTTATGAATATTGTAACTTGGAATTGTAGAGGGGCTGGGAAAAAAGGGTTTTCCCCCTTATTATAGATTTATCTTCCCTTGAGACCCGTCTTGGGGGGGATAGAGCTAAGAAAGTGGCTAAATCCTTGGGGTTTTCAAATTATTTTCTTTCTGACCCCATTGGTTTTTCAGCAGGAATTTGGCTTCTTTGGAATTCTTCGGAAGTTCATTTGCAAGTTCTCAACACTAACCATCAGTATGTTCATTCCAAACTTTACTGGCGGGGGAAGAATTAAAGAAGAATTGGTGACCTTTTGTTATGGTAGTCCCCGTCGGCAAGAGCGTATCTTTAGAATTGGTTCAACCTAACCAAGGGCAGGCTTGGTGCATCTTGGGGGATTTTAATACTTATGTGCATGCTTCGGAGAAAAACGGAGGTGGCATTCCAAACTGGAGGAGTATGATGGATTTCCAACAATGTCTCATGTCTTGCCATTTGACAGATCTTGGTCATCAAGGTCCAGTAATGACTTGGCGTAGGGGGAATTTATTAGAAAGGTTGGACCGTGCTTGTGCTAATGAAAGTTGGAATTTGTCTTTTTGCCATAGAGTGGTGTCTCACCTACCATTCTTTAGCTCAAATCATCGTCCCATTCTTCTTTGGGATGGTCATCCTCCTCATAATGAGAATGGGTTTCGTCCATTCAGGTTTATGGCTGCCTGGCTTACTCATGATAAGTTCCCAGATCTTGTTCTTGATACTTGGAGAGAGGGGAAAGATTGGATTCCTTCTAGCCACCTCTTTCATGACAAGGCATCAAAATGGCATCAGGACTCTTTTAGGGAAGAGGCTGAACAGAAGAGAAAGCTTCATGCTCGTATTAGTGGGATTGACCGTAGCCTTAGTCTCCATAACTCTCATGCTCTTGAAAATCTCCAGAAGGAGCTTTGGCGCCAACTTAATCTTATCTATCTCAGAGAGGAGCTTACCTGGTTTCAGCGGTCCCGTGTTAACTGGCTCAAGTATGGGGATCGTAATTCAAAATTCTTCCACGCCTCAACAGTAATCAAACGAAGAAGGAATCACATTGATGCTTTGAAGAATGATGATGATGATTGGGTAGGAGAACCCTCAAGTCTAATGACTATGGCGGTTGACTTTTACAAGAAGCTGTATAAAGAATATGCTATCGTGCGGCCTATCTTCCCTATTAGGAATAGGTTTCCTCTTCTTAACCAAGGGGACCTTCAGATCCTTCGCAGGCCTCCATCTAATAAGGAGATTTGTGATATTGTGTTCTCTATAGGGCCGTATAAAGCTCCTGGCATTGATGGCCTTCACGGCTTGTTTTTTCAATCCCAGTGGAATATTGTGGGTGATTCAGTTTGCTTTTTCATTCAGAATGTGTTCAGCAATCCTCATAGAATTAAAGAAGTTAATCAAACCCTGCTTTGTCTGATTCCGAAAGTGGATACTCCTCAATCTTTCAAGGAATTTCGCCCAATCAGTTTGTGTAATGTTATTTATAAAACGATGACAAAACTTCTTGCTAACCATTTAAAAATGCAGATGAAGAATCTTGTTATGCCAAATCAATGTAGTTTCATCAAAGGCCAGCAAGGAACTGACAATGTCATAATTGCCCAGGAATTGATCCATTCCATGCGTTACAAGCGTGGTGCACTACATCTTGCTCAATGAACGTGTTATGGAACGGGATGACCACAGAGGAGTTCTTTCCTTCTAGGGGTCTTAGACAGGGTGATCCGTTATCTCCCTATCTCTTTGTTTTGTGTCTGGAGAGACTTGCTAATCTGATTACTTTGTGTGTGGAAAATAAGAGTTGGAAGCCTATTGTAGCTGCGGCGGTGGCGGTAGGTGACAATGGTGGTGGTGATGGTGGCGGTGGTGGTGGTGGTAGTGGCGGGGGTGGGGGTGACGGTAATGGCAGTAACGATGATGGTGGTGGTTGGTGCCGGCGGCGACAGCGGTGGTGGTGACGGTAGTGGCTGCGGCAATGGTGTTGGTGTTGGTGTTGGTGGCAGTGGCGTGTGATGGAGATGGTGGCGATGACGGCAGTGGTTGCAATTGTTAGAATATTAGATATGATATGATTAGATATGATTGGATTCTGTCTTATCCGTAAATAGTCTGACTGTATTAGGATTAGGTTTGGGCCTTACACTTAAGCCCATTAGGGTCTCTATATATTGTAACTCCCTGACACAGATCAATACACAACGTATTCTTTTACACGTATTCTGACTGATGGCCATGTTGATCGTCTCAAGGCACGCCTAGTTGCCAAGGGATTTACTCAAATATTTGGTCTTGATTATAGCGATTCATTCTCTCCAGTCGCTAAGATGGCGTCCGTCCGCCTATTTCTTGCCCTTCCTACTGTTCGTCACTGGCCACTCCTTCAACTTGACATCAAAAATGTCTTTCTTCATGGTGATTTACAAGAAGAAGTTTACATGGAGCAACCACCTGGTTTTGTTGCTCAGGGGGAGTCTGGGAAGGTATGTCGTCTTCGAAAATCCTTATATGGTCTCAAGCAGTCTCCTCGAGCATGGTTCAGTCGCTTTAGTTCTGCTGTACAGGCGTTTGGCCTAATTCGCAGTAAAGTTGACCATTCTGTATTCTATAGGATTACATCTCCTAACAAGTGCATCTATTTGTTAGTCTATGTTGATGACATCATCATCACCGGAAGTGATCAAGACGGAATCCGTCAGTTAAAACAACATTTATTCAGTGCATTTCAAACAAAGGACCTTGGAAAGCTGCGTTACTTCTTGGGAATTGAGGTGGCGCAATCTAGACAGGGCATTTCTATCTGTCAAAGGAAGTATGTCTTGGATATCCTAGAAGAGACTGGTATGTTGGGGTGTAAACCAGTTGATACACCCATGGATCCTAATGTTAAGTTATTGCCCAGACAAGGGGAGCCGTTATCTGATCCTGGACGTTATCGAAGGCTGATTGGGAAGCTCAATTATCTTACTGTGACTAGGCCAGATATTTCTTTCGCTGTCAGTACGACTAGTTAGTTCCTTGATTCCCCTTGTGATTCACATTGGGATGCTGCTGTGAGGATCCTCCGATACATCAAAGGAGCACCAGGAAAAGGTTTGTTGTATTCGGATCAAGGAAATACAGAAATTTGTGGTTACTCAGATGCCGATTGGGCAGGATCACCCTCGGACAGACGCTCTACTTCTGGTTATTGTGTCTTCTTCGGAGGAAACTTAATCTTATGGAAAAGCAAGAAACAACCTGTTGTTTCCCGATCTAGTGCAGAAGCTGAGTATCGTGCAATGGCAAATACTACCTGTGAGTTGATCTGGTTAAAGCAGTTGATTCAAGAGCTTCATCTTTGTGAACAGAAACAACCCATGACATTCATCTGTGATAATCAAGCTGCGCTACATATATCCTCTAATCCTGTTTTTCATGAGAGGACCAAACATATAGAGATTGATTGTCACTTCATTCGGGAAAAGATTCAGTCAGGAGAAATCAAGACAGCTTTTGTCAACTCGTCTAATCAACTAGCAGATGTTTTCACTAAAGCTCTTAGAGGTCCTCGGGTTGAATACTTTTGTAACAAGCTTGGTGCTCATAATATATACGCACCAGCTTGAGGGGGAGTGTTAGAATATTAGATATGATATGATTAGATATGATTGGATTCTGTCTTATCCGTAAATAGTCTGACTGTATTAGGATTAGGTTGGGCCTTACACTTAAGCCCATTAGGGTCTCTATATATTGTAACTCCCTGACACAGATCAATACACAACGTATTCTTTTATATTTAACTGCAATGATGGAGGAGGTGGTGGTTGATGGCGGTAGTGGTGATGGTGGTGGTGACGGTGATAGCGGTGGTAGTTGTGGTGGTGGTGACGGTGGTGGTAGTGATGGGTGGAGGTAGTGGTAATGGTGGCGGTGGCATCGTGGTGGTGACGACGGCACTAGTGGTACGATGACGGCGACGACGATGGTGGCGGCAGTCATGTCAGGATGATGGTGGTGGTGGTGATGATGGTAGAGGTGGAAAGTAATAGAGAGAGATAAGTGTTTCTCATTTTGTGCCCGGAAACAAAAAAGCAGAAATTTTCTAATTCTTTTTTCTGTTCCCCAGCACAAAAAATTAAACCGGTTCATTCCAGGAACAAAAAAAATAAACTGGTTTTACCAAACGAGTTTCCTATCCATTTCTGTTCCCGCGAACAGAAATTAAAAAAGAGTTGATTCCGGGAAAGTTGTCATGCACACCCTTACCCAATGCAGGTTTGTGTTTTGCCCCGTAGTGTGTGTGATGATATTGAAAAACAAATTCGGGCTTTTGTTTGGGGTTCCTCAAGCTTAAACAGAAGACCCCATCTAGTTGCTTGGAGTCAAGTTTGCCGAAATAGACAAAACGAAGGTCTGGGGATTCGATCAGTGAGAGACATGAATACTGCTTTTATCAAGAAGCCGGGTCACAATCCTCTAACCAATCCAGGAGCTTTATGGGTTAAAATCCTTAGGAGTAAATACAATATGGGCACGGAATTACTCCCGGAGATCAAGGTTCCAAAGAATAGTTCAACTCTTTGGCGTGGTATTGCTTGTTGTTGGCCCCTGGTCTTGAAGCATAGTCGCATAGCATTGGGAAATGGTGAAAGAACGTTATTTTGGTTAGATCCTTGGATTGCAGGTAGTGGTTGCCTTGTTGAGCAGGCTTCGGGCCAAATTCCAAACGGGGCCATCAACCTTCACCACTACCGCCATCATGAATCTGGCCAATGGATTTGGGAAAGCTTCCAGCATTTGTTACCGGGGCACATTTCCAAGCGTATCATGAATACAATTCCTCCCCTTATGATAGAAGGTCAAGATAGAGTCATTTGGGGCGAATCATCTGATGGGCTACTTTTCGTTCGAACGGCTTATAAGGGTATTACTTATAATGATCAAACAAATGACTTGGTTCCTTGGAATCGCATTTGGAATTGGGAGGGACCAGAAAGAATTCGTACTTTTCTTTGGCTAGTAATGGGGAACAAGCTTATGACAAATGCAAGAAGATTTCAATGTACAATATCAACCACCGAGCTTTGCTCTAGATGCCACCTTGCTAGAGAAACAATTTTGCATGCCATCAGGGATTGTAAAATCTCCAAAGAGGTTTGACAGAACTTTGTTGACCACAACCTGTTGGAGGATTTTATGGACTTGGACCTCCATGATTGGATTTTGCAGAATATTGAGGGGCCTAAACGTTGGAGCGTTTATCCTCATTGGCAGCTCCTTTTTGGCATTATAACTTGGTTCTTATGGCGAGATAGAAACAATTTCATTTTAAATGATTCAGGGAGCACCTCCGTTGGCATTTCACGAGCTGCTAAAGCTTATTTGGATAATTTACTGCTTGCCAAGGAAACGTTGTCGATGGTGGGAATAGAGCAGCATATTAAATTGAAGCGGCTCATAGTATGGTCTTTTCCTCCTCTGAATTGGATTAAGGTAAACGTTGATGGTGCTAGTTCCTCTGATGGATCTCACTCAGGTTGTGGCGGTGTTCTTCGAGATAGCTCCGGCAACTGGATTATTGGTTTTTGTAAAAATCTGGGTAGTGGGACAACTTTGAATGCTGAGTTATGGGCCTCCTTGGTGGGTCTAGATGTAGCTTAGAACAAAGGATACAGACATGTGTGGTTGGAAGGTGATTCTCAGCTTGCACAACAGCTTATTCTAAAAGGTTGTAGCTCTTCCTACCCATCTTCTGGGTTGATTTTGCAAATTAAGGGTTTGTTGGCTAGAGATTGGAATGTTCATATTTCCCATATCCATCGTGAGGGGAATGGTTTTCTTGGAATGTCCAACTTCTGGAGAACCCTCCATCTGGTTGCATGGATCGTCTGCCTAATGATTTTATTGGCACCCACTGGCCTAGGCTTTGTGCTTAGGACTTTTTGGTTTTTGTGTTTGTCTTTTTATCTCATTATGTATTCAAAAAAAAAAAAAAAAATTGTACATTACATATTTACCCCCATTTATCCACTTTTATTTATTAATTTGAAATTATTTAAGTAATTTTCATTTCGAAAAAAAAAAAAAAAAAAAAAAAAACAGGTTATTAGTATCTAAAGTTTTGACACGAGAAGGTATTCATGTGGTGTCCAATTAGGGGGAATTGCCACCCCTAGTCCTGTGTATTGTCCATGCTGCATGCCGCAGAGTTGGTTCGTGACAAAACTACATATATACAAGAAAAGAAATCCGAATGGTGAGTTGTAGAAATAGGCAAAATATGGACCAACCTACAATAAGGCAAATTTTGATACCAGAAGCTGCAGGAATTTCTTTTAAAGAAAGGGGTAAGACAACCAAAGATGGAACATAGAACAAAGGGAGCCATCTCTGTATGAACATTAAAGCAGGCTCAAAGAAGTTCATCAATGCTGTAGCTGCAGAGGACACTGTAGAGTCAAGAATCATCAAAACCGAGAATATACAGAACATCCCAAACAACGCACTCGGGAATTTAATGGCAGCAGCTACGAATGATTTCTTCAAAAACTTATCCATAGCAAGAATAAGCCCTAGGGACACAATCAAATGGAATGCCCTAAACACCTTCAAAAAAAAAAAAAAACCATCATTTCATTACGCAGATGGAAAAAATTGAATAATTACACATAGAAACAGAGAAACTCACACTTTGGCTCAGTGTGGAAGTGCTCCCAGTTTCAGTTTCAGCTGATTTTGTTGAAATTTCTCTGCTTTTGCAATTTCCTTGTAAGAAACTGGAACTGAACCCATGAACTCTGGTGGGTATTGCTGAGTTACACAAAACGAATCGTTTTTGAAAAGTTGGGAGAGACTTGGCAGAGACTCTGCCATGGAAGAGAGAGACAGGGGGTGGTGGGTTTAGATAGTGGTTGCTGAGAACTGAAAAGGATAAACACTGCGCCATTGAAACAGGGAGAGGGGGTAAAGTCCTGCGCCTTCAACAACAGAAAGCATTTCACACATTTTGTGGGACCTCAAAGAGAAAAATTATATGGACAAGAAGAAATGTTGACATTAAATGGGATGAGACACAAGTTTACATCCATAGAGTCCTTAGGTTAGGATTTTCTTTCTTTGTTCGTTTCCTAGAGAATTTGAATTTGAATGTTGGTTATTCGAGTAAACATCCTTCTTGTCCCGACAAAAAAAAAAAAAAATGTGTTCATTTTAGTCTTTTATAAAAATAAATTAATCAGTTAGTCTTTAACAAATTTAAAGTAGATCCATTTTAGTCCTTCTAAAAGATTAATATGGATCTTTTTTGAATTTGTGAGGAACCACGATTTCAACTAAACTGGTCCACTTTGAATTTGTTAAGGACTAACTGACTTATTTATTTTTGTAAGGGACTAAAGTAAAGACCGTATTTTTTGTTAGGAACCAAAAAAGATATTTACTCTTGTTATTCTTCGAGTAAATTCTCACATATTATATTGACAAATTTTTTTATTATAAATTTATAAATTATACTAAATGTGACTAATCATATACCAAGTGTATAATCCCTCCCATTATATCATATAATAAAAATTTCTTAATATCATATCAGTAAGTTAAATATTTTTATTATTAAATTAATCTTTTAAAGATAAAAAATAATTACTAAATATATTATATTATGTCATACAATATTTTTTATAAAGACAAATTTCTAATTACTTTGTAACTTTTGAAGACTAGTGTAGATAATAATTTTTTTTAAAAGTATTAATGTGGTGACACACAAATCGTTGAAAGACCAAATTTAAGATTTTAATAAATAAATAAAAAAGATTTGCTCTCCTTTTTTTAAATGGAAAAATAATGGTGAACTAATAAACAATATTTATACTAAAAAAATTATTACGAAGGAAATAGAAAGTGGATGGTAGCTTATGTAAGATTTCCTAAACCCAAATTTATTTTAGATTGTTCCCTAATATAGAATAATATATTTATTTATTAATTTAATTTGTAAATGGGTGAAAATCAAAAAGTAAGCCCCCAAGCTAATTGAAATATTAGTATTTTCATGAAAAATTACTCAAATCTTATTTTCATGAAAAATTACTCAAATTAAGATTTGGCTTAAAATAAGAAAATAATTACTTTAGATTAATATTTTTTAATACAATTTGAGATCTCACAGACCCATAATGGGATGGTTTTCCCATCATTATTTAACTTGAGACATGTGATTAAGGAAAAAAAGTTATTTGTCACTTGAATCAATAGTTATTGATTTTATATTAATATTTCAATGTCAACTAAGTCATCTCTAACTAACTTATTGAACAAAATACTATTAGTCCCACTAGTACTCAAGAAGGGGGGTTGAATTTAGTAATTGCATCTTTTTATTTTTTTTTATTTTAATATATTTTTCTAATTTTTGCTAATAAAAAGAAATCACAAGAATGATGCACAAATAAAAACACAATGATTTCTATGCAGAAAAAACCCCATAGGCTCAATAGGAGTAAAAAAAAAACCACGACCCACTTGGATTCTAATCTAATGGGATTTAAAAAAAAACTTCACTAATTTCAATGAGCCAAAATACTCAAGGACAAGTAGACCCTAATCTACCCTTGAGACATACTACTTTGATTTAACACCTTAAATCAAAGTTTACACTTATCCACCAATAAGCCCACACTTATTGTTACTACCATTCTATGAAGAATTTCATTAGACCTAGTGTGTTCCCATGGGGAGCACCAGTGATTTTTGTAAAGAAAAAGGATGGTAGTATGCATCTATGCACGGACTATCGACAACTTAATAAGGTTACTGTCAAGAACAGGTATCCTTTGCCACGAATTGATGATCTCTTGGATCAACTTAGAGGTGCTTGTATTTTCTCTAAGATTGACATTCGGTCTGATTATCATGAGATCCGGATTAAGTATGAGGATGTGCCTAAAACGACGTTCCAATCTAGATATGGACATTTTGAGTACCAGATGATTCCATTTGGACTTACTAATGCACCAGCAGTATTCATGGATTATATGAATCGCATATTTAAAACCTACCTGGATCAGTTTGTTATTGTGTTTATTGACGACATTTTAATCTATTCTAAGAGAAAAGAAGAGTATACAGATCATTTGAGAACTATATTGCAAGTGTTGAAGGAGAAACAGTTGTATGTCAAACCGTCCAAGTGTGAATTTTGGCTATCTGAAGTGCAATTTTTGGGTCATGTGATTTTCTGCTGATGATGTTACAGTGGATCCAAGTAAAATAGATACGGTAAGTAACTGGGAACGACCTAAGACTGTGACTGAAATCAGAAGCTTTCTGGGTTTAGCCGGTTATTGTCATAGGTTTTTTTAGGGTTCTTCTACAATGGTGTTGCCATTGACTTGTTTGACACGAAAAGATACTCTTTTCGTGTGGACTCAGGAATGTGAACAATGTTTTCTTACTCTAAAAGAGAGATTGACTACAGCTCCTATGCTGACCCTTCCAAATCCTAAGGGTGAATTTGAATTATACTTTGATGCTTCAAAGAAAGGATTGGGTTGTGCATTGATGCAGAATAGGAGTGTTGTTGCTTATGCATCTAGGCAGTTAAAGCTTTATGAAGAAAACTATCTGACTCGTGATTTAGAGTTAGATGCAATTGTGTTTGCATTAAAAATTTGGAGACATTTCTTATATGGGACGAAATTTTCTATGTTCAGTGATCATAAGAGTTTGAAATATTTATTTGATCAGGAAGAACTGAAAATAAGACAGCGAAGATGGGTGAAATTATTGAAAGATTATGACTTTGAACTGAAATAACACCCTGGTAAAGCTAATGTGGTGGCAGATGCATTGAGTGGAAAATATGTTAGTTTGTCTAGTATGATGATGTGGGATAATGAGGTTATTGAAAAGTTTAGAGACTTGAGGATAGCTAATTTCTTTGCAGGAAGAATGTGTTGTATTGAAATGACTAGAATTGAGAATGAGTTACTTGCAAGGATTAAGAAAACTCAAATACAGAATGAAAGTGTTAAATATTTGAAAAGACAAAGTGGTATATCCTGGAATGATCAAGATATATTGTTGTATCAAGGTACAATCATTGTGCCTATGGTGTTAGCAGATGAGGTTATGACTGAGGCCCACGAGGGTAAGTATATTATTCATCCGGGTACGATATGAACCCCACTAAGAATAGTGAGACCTAAGACCAATTTAGTTAGGATCGTTTCTACAATCAAGAAGCTAAAACAAGAAATAAAGAACCTTGACCCATTATCTATGGAAGATAAGAACCAAAAGTGTAAGAAGGATAAAGACGCCACACTCAAGAAAGAAGGTGAGTGATAAGTTTGTTTTGAACGCCACAAGAATAAGCTTCTTGATAAGTTCAAAGTTCTAGTTAAGAACCAAAGATAAGAAACCTCTCTATTATATTATAACTACAAAATTTGATAACGAGTTGTATCCTCCCTTATTTATACTTGGAACATCCCTCCAAGAATAAGAAAGACTAACAAATGAAAAGATACTAATTTAAAGTTGACAACTTGGAAAAGGAAAAGGACTCTAATCAGCCCACTAAATATTAATGACATTGAAAATGTTAATCAACCCCACTAAGCATTAATAACATTGAAAATGCTATCAGCCCCATTAAACATTAATGACATTGAAAATTGCTAATTATTCCACTCAACCTCCCTTGCATTGATGACATTAACTAAATTGTGATTACGAATAAATTTGGACTTAATGTCTTCATGATTAGCCCACATTTGCTGGATCAACCCACTAAGAGCTTCTTTAAGATTCTTGGCCCTTAATCTTGTGATTGTCCCATTTGGCAATTGTAATGGATCATTAGATGTTGTCTCCTTATTCACATCATTCCCTCCCTCTTCAAAAGGATTTGTCCTCAAATCTGCTCCGACATCAAAAGGAGATAAATCAAAAACATTAAATGTTGCACTAACATTGTACTCACCTAGAAGGTCAAGCTTGTAGGCATTATCATTTATCCTCTTAATCATTTGAAATGGTCCATCACCCCTTAGAAGCAGTTTGGAACGTCTTTGGGCTGGAAATTTTTCTTTTATCATATGTAGCCAAATCCAATCTACTGATTCAAAAACTACTTTCTTGCGCCCTTTATTGGCTTGATTGGCATATTGCTCAGTTTTCCTCTCGATGTGTTGCCGAGCTCTTTCATGAATCTGCTTAACAAGTTCATCCTTCTTCTTTCCATCTATGTTAACCTGTTCACTTACTGGTAAAGGAGTTAAATCCAAAGGAGATAATGGTTAAACCCATACACAATTTCAAATGGTGAAAACTTATATGCTAAATGGATTGTCCTATTATATGCAAATTCAGCATGTAGCAAACATTCTTCCCATGATTTCAAATTCTTTTGAATCAAAGAACGAAACAATGCAGATAAGGTCCTATTAACCACCTCTATTTGCCCATCTGTTTGTGGATGACAAGTAGTAGAAAACAAAAGTTTTGTTCCTAGTTTACCCCACAAAGTTTTCCAAAAATAACTTAGGAACTTTGAATCTCGATCAGAAATAATACTTTTGGAAATACCATGCAATCTTACAATTTCTTTGAAAAACAAGTCAAAGATATGTAATGCATCATTGGATTTATGACATGGAATGAAATGTGCCATTTTTGAAAATCTATCAACAACCACAAACACTGAATCCTTATCCCCTTTTGACCTAGGCAATCCTAAAACAAAATCCGTGGATATATCTACCCAAGATTCATTAGGTATAGGCAAAAGAGTATACAACCCATGAGGCTTGACTTTAGATTTAGCTTGTTTATAACTAAAGCATCCTTCACAGACTCTCTCCACATCACGTTTCATATAAGGCCAAAAGAAATGTTCATGCAGAACATCTAAGGTTTTAGATACTCCAAAATGCCTCATCAAACCTCCCCCATGAGCTTCTTTAACAAGCAACTCACGCAATGAATTTTTAGGCACACACAATTGTTTCTCCCTAAACA